ATGGTGATCGGGGTGAGCCCCGACATGAATAAAATGAGTTTGGTGTGCAGTTTTTTTTTTTTTTAATGAAAAAAAATAAAAATAAAAAATAAAGAAATAAAGAAATAAAGAAATAAAATAAATAAATAAAGAAAATAAAATAAAATAAAATAAAGAAAGTGGAGCAACGTGGGTTTGGCCCATGGTTTGGTGAAAACCGGCAATGGTTTTTTTTTTTTTTTAAAGAAGGAAGATAAAATAAAATAAATAAAAGGGATAGTGGGATCAGACGGCGTGGTGTGAAAGTGGAGTGTTTGGGTAATATAGTATAATAAAAAGAGATATATATATATATAAAATAAAGAAAGTTGGGGAGAGTGGAAGCATAATAATGAGTCTGTGGTGTGTTGTGTATGGGTGTCTCTTAAAATGGGTGTGTGTATGGCCCTCTCCCTCCCTAACCCGAGAGAGAGTGAGTGAGGTGGCAGTGTGTGTGTGTGTGTGATAGTCGAGTCAGTGAGACCGAACCAGCATCACCCTTCATGACTCCATGGCCTCGAAGAGAGAGAGAGAGAGAGAACCCGTGTACCAAAAGTCATGTCGAGAAGAGAGAGGGAGAGTTGTGTGTTGCTCTGTGGTCATGCATGGTGACCGAGAGAGAGTTGATGAATGCATGGTTTGATCAGGCCTCCCATGGCTGGAGAGGAGTGAGACTGAAACCGGTGGAGCGGACACCACAGGAGGTGTGGCCGGAGATTGACCTCCAACGACGGCGCCTGGAGGCCACGGGCTGTGAGCAAGCAGCGGTACAGTGACGGAGCTTTGTTGGAGAAAAAAACAAGCTGGGTTTTGCCCCAGTTTCAGCACAAACTGCTCTCTTCTTCTTCTGTGTGTGTGTCAATGGATGGTTGTTATGGCGGTGCAGGTGGTTGAGTTTGCCGAACATAAAACCAGCAAGAGAGAGGGAGCTTGTGTGTTGATCATTACCATAAAACCAGCGAGAGAGAGAGAGAGTTTGTGCATGCGTGTATCTGTGTGTTGTTTTTGTTTTCAGCTCAGATGCTCTGTGTCTTCATGCTCCCCCGAGAGAGAGCTTCGTGAAGGTGATGCTGCTGCCATTGATAACAGACCACGCTCATCATGCTTTAGCTTGGATGGCAGTTCATCTGGAAACTGAAAGAGAGAGATATAGTGCAGCTTTGAGCCCCAGAAAAGAGAGTTGCCGAGAGAGAGCAGACCGTCTTGAGAGAGCGAGCAGCTGCTGCCCTCACTTCATGGTTGTGAACTTCTCTCTACTAGTGTTGCCCCTCAACGAAAATGTAACCATGAGAGAGAGAGAGAGAGAAGTTCACACAAGGTCGACGAAGACGATGAAGAAGACGACGTCGTCTCGGTCAGCGAAGGAGAGCCCAGTGACCAAACTCGTGAACCGGTTCTTAGCCGCTTGCTTCTTGCCTTGGTCTGAACCGGAGTCGTGAAACATGACTTGGCCAGGACTGCAATTTCCAGCGGTTCGGACCGGTTTCCGGTGGTTTTGTCAGGTAATTTTCCGGCTAGAGAATATTCGGAGAAGGAATCTTCCACAAAATGAGAAAGCCATTCGAGGTTTGCCAAATCATCCGCTGGAACGCTGAGTTCGCTGCGAAAATCGTCGGTGACGGAAAAAGTACTAGTTTTCAAGACGGAGGCGGTGGCCATAGCAGCGGCGGTCTCGCCGGCGAGGTCCGACCTGGGGTTGTTCAAGATGGAATTTCTGATCTTGAAGGTGAAGTTCTGCCATGGAATTTGTTAGAAACTACTGTAGCGCAGCAACAACAAGATCAAGAGCAAGAAGAATAATTTGTGGCGGCGGAGTGAAGGTATGGGTAGAGGTCCGGCGGGCGGCCAAGGCGAGGCTGCCGCCCGCTGGTGAAGCAGAATTACTAGCTTCTCAACCTTACTCTGATACCATGTTAAACAAATTGATAGAGAGAGAATAAATTGTATGTATTATGATTGATGTATTGAATGTTGTGTTGAGCTCTCTCCTTTATAGAGGAGAGGGAGAACAATTACAAACCTAAAGTAGAAGCACAAACCAAACAACATTATTAAAGGTACATTATTAAAGCATACTAATTATTATACTAACCTAATTATTAAAGCAACACTTTACATATTATATTCTAACACTATACTATTCAATTCAATGAGCACATGCTTGTCCAAACGTGATGGGTAAATTTCAATTTTAGTGAACTTGTTGATTATACTTTGAGTTGCAGATGCATTATGCGTTTAATTCTGTTCATTGTTTTAGAATTTTTTTAGACTTTACATCGAATACAAGGAAGTTTGATACCTTATTTGCTCTGGTTGTGCATTTGATGATTTAGTTTTTAGCCTCAACAAGCTTTTATAATCTTGCAACAACTAATTCCACTTCAAGGCCATCTGAAGCTCCATTCAACATATATAGTGTTGTTTGGTGTAGCTGTTAAAACATATTATAGATTATAGCTTAACAGATTATAGATTATGACTTTAATCAGAAGCTGTTAATCTGTTTGGTATAGCTGTTGGATTATAGAT